AACCCCTAACATTCTGTGATTCTGTGATGGGTCGTTGGGGTTGTGATGCTGAAATGGCTTGTCATCCCACCAACTCACCTTAAAGGAGAAAACTGTCTGGGACAGTTTTTTAATCTGGAGATTAAAAAATTCCCCGCAATCCTGTAATGGTGTTTCTGCAGTACATATATCTCTCTGCCCATATCTCCCGTCCCTGCCTGCCAAAATCCTCTTCCTAGGAGAATTTGCCTTTTCTTCCAAAATCTAGATTTTACGATTTTCCAATGACTCAGATGAAAGTTCAGGGGTTTTTTTCAAGTTCTTTCAACAGGTGTCTCAAAGGATGTTGAAAAATTACATGTACTTAGACCCTGGGCCTGGTATATAGGAGGCCAGTGGTAGCAGGCTTATCATTTTGTTTTGTTTTGGTTTTTTAACAGGTGTGATAACTGAGTCAAATCTACTGAATTCAGAAACAGAGGCACAGACAAGCTTGCCTGATGTTCCGTACGAACCAGACCTTGATATCGAAATAGATTTTCCAAGAGGTATTTTTTCGGTCATTTCAATAAATGTAGTGAAATAAGACATTGTGGGCAACCCTGTATTTGAAAAAGGTAGCGTTATCTGAATTAGCAGGCAAATCACTCCTTTGAGACCTGTCTTGAAATAAAGTCTTAGGTTTATGTACAACAATTTCTACCACTCTACTGAATGCACGTGACAGTGGTTGTTTCTTTATACTATGTCCTGAACAATCCAAGATCCAAGAAAGGCCCTGGCTGTAGCTAGTGTCTCCCTTGACGTAGCTTCTCTTGGACATAAACCTAGCATACCTCCCCTGGATAGCTTCTGTATCTGGTGTTGGAAATCTCCTGTTGCCTTCTGCCATAGATACCTGCACTAGATGCCCAGACTGGTTTTTTTTTGTTTGCTTTATTTCTAATTTAAAGATAAGTCTAGGGGTTAATCTGACCTTAGTCTTAGGAAGTTTATTAGCCACATGCATACTAGACTTCTAACCCCTTTTAAAAGTGAGGGTTGGTACATAAGGAAAAACAGGGAAGAAAAAGATGATCAAAGTGGAATAGTAATACAAGTCTGTGATGGCTATTGATTACTCTGAAGTGCTTCTGAGATAAGATTCTTTGTGGTAGCAGGAGAAGGACTGGTGCTTGGTCTGGGGCAGAGTTCTTACATCTTTGTTTGCATGTGAGTGCTATTTCATCTGGACTGGTTTGAGTGGTGTCTGGAGTAGAAAGGTGGTAAAATCAGACTATCACAAGAGCATTCAGTTTTGAATGAAGATATTTGATGGCTAAATAAGGGATGAACCATCTTCAGTAAAGTAAATAGAGGTGGAACTTGCAACATTAAATCCATTCACATGTTGTCACATTCCACTGTGTTGCCTGAAATAGAGTCCTCCATCCTACCCCTGAAATGTTAAGCTACTAATATTTTGACATATTACCATATATCTCTTTACCAAAATTACTGTAATATCCATTGTGAGCTAGACCTCTCCCACTTGTGTAAATAGACTAAAACCGGTTACTCTGAAAGAGCTTACATTCTGATTCTTAATGTTTTTAACCAAGTATTGTGTGCTATATAAAATATGAAACATCATTAGAACTTGTGGAAATACACGAACAAAAGTGCATATACTAAGTTAATTTGTAGCCTTTCCACTCATTGCTGCTCCTTCTCAACGTGACTTCAACTTCTGAATATTAAAGGCTGCCCAGACAGGAAAAGTGGTGTAGGGGTCTGTGGTAAGAAATGCTGCCTTAGAGACATGAGGTAATGTTTGAAAAATGCTGAATGTTGTGTCCTTTGTACTTTATTTAGAAATAAAGAAATGGATAGCTTTGCCTTACTTTTGAAATAAGAATAGGTTTATTTCCTTCCTCAAAAGCCAGTCTTGGGTAACATTTATGTGTGTGCTTCTGCGCACCGTGTATGTTAATGCACACTGGTTGTTCATTGTTTTTTCAAACCACTGTTATTTAAAAGATGTTTAGAAAAAAGCTTCTGTTAATGTATTTTCAGCAACTGAGGAGCTTGATACAGAAAATGAATTTTTGTTACCTCCTGTTTTTGGAGAAGAGTATGAGGAGCAGCCAAAGCCTCGGTCCAAAAAGAAGGTATTTTTGTCATGCTATTAAAAAAAAAAAAAAGCAAAAAATCTTAAGTGAGCAAAAATGTGCCAGACTTGTTTTTTTTCAGTTCTCACCATGCTCTTAGAAATGTTACTGCCTATTCATACCTAATAGCTTGTCTTTATGGGGTAAATTGTTATAATTCAAGTAATGAAATTATTTCAGTCTTGACTGTTGCGATTAACCATCGGATTTAACAGGAGTATAATTTCTAAATTCTGATCCAATTTTTGGTTCACATTGATAGAACTATTGATGTAGAGTGCTAGTGTGCGTATAATTGCTATAGTCTTATTAATGCTTTTATACTTCCTACTTTGAGAAAAGCTATCCTGGTTTAATTTGATAGCAAAAGAAGAATGTTGGCATTACCATGGCTTATGAGTGCTATAGCTCTCTCCTATATAAAACAGTTTAGAAAAACATTTTTATTTGCTTGTAGTTTTCCTAGATTTTATTTTCGGTAAAAAATTCTTAGTTTAGACATTGCAAATAAATTAGCCATATTCTTTTATTTAGAGGGAAGCTAACAGGAAATAGTTTCCAGTGCCTGCACAAAGCTGAAATGGTTTCATTTCAGTAACTGCAGTCAATAGGACAGCTTTAAAAAAAAAAAAAACAAAAAAAAAACAACCAGCCAACTTGTAAGAAGACTGTCTAAGAATAAAGGTGTCTTTGTAGTTTTTACTTTGGAGTCTAAACTGTTGTTAATATCCATGTATTCACTGCTGGAAATACTTTAATTTGGGACCAATACCGGCTTTTCATTCGATGGGTTCAGTTGAGCCTATAAGTTGATTTGTGGCGTCTTTAACTTCCTGTACTTTAACAGGGTGAAATTCTGTAGATACACTGATTTCTTTTGTACATAATGTTTGTTGCTTAACACGATAGAACCGATACAGCAGTTCCATTACCAAAAAATATTCTGTGTTAGGAACCAGTGTGAAAGGTGAGTTAGAAACATCTTGTCAGCTTAAGTAAATACTGTCCTTAGAAGCGTGTTCAACACAGAAACTGTGCCCTGAATGGAGCACGTGTTTCTTTGCAGTGAACATTCAGCTCATAATTTGGCTTGCAGCTTGCTTATTCTGCCCAGTTTCTGTGTTACTGCTGTTGGCTGCGGTGTTAACCACTGTGTTTCACTGGCAGGGGGTGAAGAGGAAAGCCGTGTCAGAATACCAGTCTCACGATGACAGCTCTGAAAACTCAGAGTGTAGTTTTCCGTTCAAATACGCGTATGGTGTAAATGCGTGGAAGCACTGGGTAAAGTCTCGCTATTTAGATGAAGAGCTTCCAGAATTAGAGGAACTGAAATCAAGTAAGTATTTCAAACAATCTGGCATCCAGATTCTTATTTAGTAAGGAGAATTGCTGTACTCAGATGATTTTCAACTGGTATTTTTAATAGTTTTCACATGTCCCTAATGTTCCCACAGTGACTGGGATTATTTTACCACGGAGCTGCCAAACTTTTTTTTCCCTAGTTTTCCCTACTTGTGTCAAAATGCTGAGTCTCACACTTTTCATGCAAGCCAGGACAGTACCTTCCTGATTCTTCAGACTTCCTGTGACCATTTTGATTTTTTTGGGGGTCTCATTTTCTTCATATTTTAACTCGCCTTGGAGTTCACACCTTTTCTGGCCTTGCAAATTTTCAAGGCAGGGGGGCATCCCACTTTTTTCCTGGAAGGAGCTCCTCGTCTGAGGCTGGCATTACCTGGCTGTGGAGCTCTGAGACAAAGTGGCCTTCACTCCGATGGAGTCTTGCTGCTCTTTTTGTAATGCAGCTCTTTGTGTCCATTGGTACTGAGAGGGAAAAGGGGTATTTTTTGCTACTCCTGCTCTTCTTCAGCTCCCACATGCGTCTTAGCACCCTTATGTTATGCTGTTGGATCTTTGGAAACTGCCATTCCTCCTGAAGGTCTTCCTCTACAGCACTGTCTTCACGTCAGCATCTTGAGCTACTTTTGTGTCATCTTCAGCTGTGCACAATGGTACATTTGTCAGTGGGTCATACTGCATTTGGTTAACTAAACATTACTCTTGTTCATTTTAATACACACCTGACATTTGAACTACCTAGTGCATTTAGACTCATTCATTGGTTAGTAGAGAGGATATCAAGCCAGTTTCCCGCTTTCCAGTCCAGAAATACCCCATCCCACTCTCACCGTTTAATAATACTGTTGTATAATATAGCATCTTTTCTCTATTTTACAGCAAAGTCTGTGAAATTAAAGGAAGATCTATTATCACATACTTCAGCTGAGTTAAACTATGGGTTGACACATTTTGTCAATGAAATTCGAAGGCCAAATGGAGAGAACTATGCACCTGACAGCATCTATTATCTGTGTCTTGGGATTCAGGAGGTTAGTAGAGGCTATAGAGATGGAAAGTGGAGCTTCTGATTTGACTGTAATCTATTTCAGTGGAAGAATGGAGATAACATGGATTTACTGGATAGAAACTATGCCTAATATAATGGCTGTGATCTGGAACACAGAGAGGCTGCTGTGTAAATCACATTGTAGAAAGCTGTCTGTATAGAAAAGGAGTTTGCAGACCCATCCTGGAAACTCAGATGCAAACCGGTATATTGTAATAATTTTAAGCTGCTAAGACTTCGCAGTCTAAAATGACACAGTTTTTCTAAATTCTGTGCTTAATTTTGTTTGCTTGAAGTTAAAACAGAATGAAAAAAGGCATGATCTGTAGATGTTTACTAATTCAGTTACTCAGCAATAGTTGGAAGCAAGCTATGTGAAGTGTTTTTTTGAGAGAGCCTACTGAATATTGTGCACTGTGGGCAGTCAGGCTTTTCTGTAGAATGTGGGAAATTCTGCTATATTGACTTAGATGTGAACTCTGCCCCTGAATCAAAATTACATTGTATTTCAAAGATAGAGGGAATCAGTTTAGATCTGAAGGCAGTACCATATCACTAGATGATTAGAAAAGCTATTCCACAACTTGTCTCATAAGCAAAGGAATCTTAGTTTTTAGTACATAAGGCAAGTAATAGATAAAATAAGCAGTGCTCAGAGCTGAGAAGACAGAAAATTTTCTTCAAGTTACAAGGCAATAAAAAAGTGCGTATCATGTGGAAAGCAAGCCGTTCAGAGGCTTTGCAGTCCTCTTTAAATTGTTTCGTACTTAAGGCAGAAGACTTGATTCAAGTAACAAATTATTAAATCAAAATCTTTGAACATAAATGGTACCTCCACTGATTTTTCTGTATTGTGAATATGGAAGATTAAGGAGTTAGCTGGTGTCTTTACCTCATGGTTGGAATTTGTGCAATGAGCATTCATTGCCTGGCATTTCAGTCAATGTTGCTACAAGGCATCTTCAAAATTAGCTATCTTTCTGCTTCTGCACTTGCATAATACACTGTCTGTATCTTTCTGTTAAACTGAAAATACTCATGTTAATCTGATAAACAATACCCAGAGTGAGGTATGTGTTTATAGAGTGGAACTCAACCAATATTTTTTTCTTTTTTCACCTTTCTCTTTTGTGCCTTTGTCTGTTTTGTCTGCTGTGAAAGCCAGTTATGTGTAAAACTTGATTATTATTTTTTTAGCTTATCAGAACCAAGGTTTGTGTGGCGCAACACAATCATCATAATCCCAAATACATATACACATTACTGGAATGTTAGAGGTCATTTTACTGGAATTACTGCTTGTACTTAGTGTCCATTTTTTAATTCAGGTGATGTTAACAGCCCCATTTCATTGGCCCAGTTATGCTATTCATACTGGTAGGAGGAGGGTACCAAGCTCCTGAGAGCTTGTCTGGAGAACTAGGATTGCTTGGTCTGGAGAAGAGGAGGCTGAGGGGAGACCTTATCACCCTCTACAACTAGCTGAGAGGAGGTTGTAGTGAGGTGGGTGTTGGTCTCTTCTCCCAAGTTACTAGCAATAAGATGAGAGGCAAAGGGCTGAAGTTGTGCCAGAGGAGGCTTAGATTGGATATTAGGAAAAATTTCTTTACTAAAAGTGTGGAGATTCACTGGAACAGGCTGTTCAGGGAGGTGGTGGAGTCGCCAACCCTGGAGATTTTACTTCAGGACATGGTTTAGTGCTCACAGTAGTGTTGTGTTTACAGTTGGACTCAATGATCGTAGAGGAGTCTGTGATTCTAAGATACGCCCTGTTCTGAGGGCAGCAGAACTCCATTGCCGTCTTTCCGTCTGACAACTCAACATGGGTACTCTGGGAAGATAATAAATTATCTGCTAGTGCAGTATTGGCTCTGCTTAACTCAGAAGGGCATTAGAGCAGATGAAATTATGCCATTTAAGGATAAAGTTGTGCTGAAATCACCAATATTGTGCTAACTTAGTGTAAGTTTGTCTTCAAAGGAAGAGAATGTGAAGCCATAGATAAGAAAAAGAGCACTTTCTCCCTCCACCAGAATTATTGCAGTCGGTGTAAGTACAGGCTCCAGTTGCAGCTTTTCCTCTTGGGTGTAATATGGTCTGAGCGCAGGGGAAGTGTTCTGGAGTCTTCAAGTCTTAGGCTGTTTTGGCTTTTTACTTTGTAAAATAACTGTTTTTCTTAAGACAAGCACTTGGAAAATCTGTTCCAGCAAACTAGTCCCTGAATCAAATGGTGTATTTTCTCTGTTCAGGTTCATTTGCAGCTGAAATTGTTCTGCTTTCAGCCAGAAATGGTTAAATAATGGTTTTGATAACTGATCCTGGAAATATCACACTTAAAAGTAAAGGTTGTTGCATGGTCAGATGGATGTCTAGTAAGGAGAGTTCATCCAGAAGAAGGTGTTGGCCTGTCTCGCTCCCCTGCTGCACTGTAGCCTTCATTGTTCCAGTACAGAATGGGATTTTTTAGTATTTTTGGGTTTTTTGCATGTGCCATAATGGGGTGGTTTGTGCAAAATTCAGTCTGATGGAGCTTGGAAGATGTCTGTCCGAAGGTGCTGTGGGGTGTGATTCATCTCGTTTCCCACTGTGGGACTCAGAGGCATCTCTAGTTCTTCCGTGCTCTCTGCGGTTTCAGTCAAGCTCATCTCAAGTGGAAACCGCTTAATGCTAATCCTGCTCATGCGAGAGTTTGTAGAGTAGCAGAACACAGCGTTGTGGTGGAGAAATCAAAGTTGTACGCTGGGTATTGTGTAGCAGGGGAGACTGCGGCACAACATCATCCTGCTGTAGACTCTGCTGTGCTACTGGTCCCCCCGGTTGTCAGGGTTTATCCAAACACTTACTCTGAACTAGGAAACAGAAGTATTTCGAGTTCTCACAGGCTTGTGTGGGAATAGATTTTCAACGATTTTTCACTCTTATTTCAATTGCACTGCTAGTGTTCAATGTGAGTGTTTAATGCAAACCAGAGAAGAAGGAAGTTCAGGGAGAGAAAATGTACCAGGGATCAGGGGCAAACCCCATAAAGGTTATATTAAGCTGTATTGTCTGAATTAGAATTGCATTATAAAATCAAAACGATAGATGTAGAAACAAGCACATTTTAGGGAAGGTTGTACTTTGAAGAATTAGTTAAATGTACTGTATAAAATAGTTAAGTAAATGAAGATGCGTTGAAGACTCCTAGGAAGCGTTTTCATTCGTTTTTCTTTATAAAACTAAGTTCAAAGTTAAGGAAGTCAAGATACGCTGAACCACCTAGTATAAATGAGTGCTATGTTTAATATTATTTCAAGTATGTGCGCAGAAATAGCTGCCATTTCCAGAAGCCACTTTTTTTGTATTCACTAACAACTGACTTGTTCATGCAAAGATAACACTGAAGTGGAAAATTTAGGAAGCCAATCCCATGTTTCTTAGAAATGTCTCCAGAGAGGATAATGTCAAATACTACTATAGCCCTTGGCCATTAATTCTTGGTAAAGGTTTGAAAGAGTTTCAGCCACTTTGCGTCATCCTGTAATTTTTCCTGCACTCCTGCATATAATTACCATAAACATAGGGGGTTGGTGTTTTCTTCTGCTCCCACTTACTTCGAGGATGCTTTTGTCAGTGTCGAGAGTTCACATTTAAAATAGCAGGTTCTTGCTAAATGTTTGTTTTGTTTTTTTCTTTGAAGACCTAGGTGGAGGAGAAGATGAATTAATTGTTTGGGGTTTATTTTTTTTAAATGGCTCTCCATTCTCTAGTATAGTGTTGCACACAGGTGATTTCTAAGAAAAATATTAAGAATTGCAATTAATATATGATTCAAATCCAGTTATAAATTTACAACATATGTTATATTAGAGGTGACTTTTAGCTGCTGAATATAGAAAAGTATCATTGCTTTATTTTTCAGTACTTTTTTTTAATTAAAGTGCAAAGATTGTGCTGAAAAAGAACCCTATAGCACAGGATTTGTTCTAGTCTGGAATGGTAAATATTGTGTCTCTCTCTTTTCTGTAGTATTTATATGGAAGTAATCGAAAAGACAACATATTTATTGATCCAACCTACCAGACATTTGAACAGGAATTAAATAAAATACTTAGAAGCTGGCAACCAAGCATACTTCCAGATGGTAATTTTCTTTTTGGTCATGTATGTTTTTCATCTATTAGTAATTCTGTATTCTTAAGCATGTAGATACATAGAAACATTTTACACAATGCAATAGTAGTTGATTAAAAATCATAAAGATGTCGTCTAAGAGCTCAATTAAGATTGTACATGTTCTTATTGTCTTGTTTCTTGGTCATCCACGCTGCAAGAGTTGATTTTGCCACCACCTGTTAATCTAAAATTAACTGTCTATTTTTAGGAGAGAAAGTTAGAGTAAGCAAGCTGCTCTTCAACATAACTTGTTACCTGAGCTGAGCTTATTTTTTGCCCATTTTTTTCCCAGATGGGAAAGCGCAGGCAGGCAGGCACTAGAGTGTGTATGGGTATGGCTGAAGAGCAATGTCTTTTAGTCTTTCTCCAGTGGATTGGGAGGACTCTCCACCATGTGCCTTCTGCTCAGGAACATCATCAGTTCATGGAGAAAACAGGAGTTTTCCCCAGCAGATCGATGTTGGTGCAGAACTGCAGAATCCACTATTCTTCGTCTTTCTCGCAATCCTCTCTTGAGTGAGAGCTTGTCCCTGCCAGCTCCTTTCCTCTCTCTTCTTGATACGGACTTTTCTCTATAGCTCTGGAGAGCTCTGTGCAAGGCCCTCCAGACCGCCTGCCCTGATACGGTCTGGGGGTGTTTTCCAAGTGAGATACCCATTAGCAATAAGAACGAAGAAGGTACAGCTAATTAGAGGCCTGATCTAAGCAGAATAAAATGAACTCAAAAGTAGTCTTTTTATAAAGGGATTAAGATAACCCCTTGAACCTTTGTTTTTATTTAATGAGGGAGTCACACCTAAGCCATGCTGTTGTGAATACAGAGAAACATGTTCTCTGTGAAATCACCTGTACTGTAATTTCGCATTGACTGTGTTTTCCTGGAACAGCCAGTGTCTGTGTCTTTAAGACATGGGTGTGGGGGTGTGGACATAAAATTAAATACACTTAATAAAGGCTTCTGAGCATTTTGTTAAATTTTACAGTAAACAGAAACTTGATTCTCTTGTACTTGGGCAGTTTACAAGCTAATCAAATGCATTTTGTCTAATATTCTTATTTTGAAGGATCAATATTCTCTCGAGTTGAAGAAGATTACCTCTGGAGAATTAAACAGCTGGGATCACATTCACCAGTTGCTCTTTTAAATACTCTGTTCTACTTTAACACTAAATATTTTGGCCTGAAAACAGTGGAGCAGCACTTAAGACTTTCTTTTGGCACTGTTTTCAGACAGTGGAAAAAAAATCCTCTAACAATGGAAAGTAAAGCATGTCTTCGATATCAAGTGTCTTCCCTGTGCAGAGCTGATAATGAAGGTACTACGGCAGTTCCAAAATAAGTATTGCAGGAGCATCTGCATTGCGCTCCTCTGAGGGACATCTGGGCACCTTGCCAGGAGCCAGAGGTTTGCCTTTGTATGAAATTTAGAAGCTCTTGGCTCCTGGATCTTTTAACTGAGAGTGTGTGGTCCATGGAGACTGCGGGGTCACTGTGCTAAATGATCTCTTTGAGCCCATGACTCTCCATGGTAAATGCTGTGTCTGTTGTTGCTGTGGGTTGCGTTTCCAGTTTGCAGATGTGCGTGGTTGTGGTGACCACATTGCAGTACTTGCTGGGCTGCACAGTCTGGGAAGTTTACTGAAAAATTTTACATAACTTCAAGTTATAGCTTAGATGTTGTTGATTTTCTTCTTCAAGATAAAATTACTACTGGAAAAAGGAAACACGAAGATGATGAACCAGTATTTGAACAAATTGAAAACACGTCCGATCCAGCTAGATGCCCTGTGAAAATGTTTGAGTGCTATCTGTCTAAAAGGTAAGTATGATACGGGATAATAAAGAAGTGGTCTAGAGTAGACGAAAGGGAGATGTTTTGATATAACATGAAATATGCTCATGCAAAAGGGATGGATTGACATCTTCTGAAAATATCTACATGAAAGCATTGAAATCTCTAGTTCTGTATCGGGTCAAGATGTGCAGAAACTGGGATCCTTGGCTACTTCAGTGTTAATTGTCATAGACTTGGTCTGAGAATGATGGTATCATGCTTTTTTTTTACCTGGAAACACCAAGTATCTCTGAAGAGAATTAACAGCAAGAGATCTGGTGGGTTTTGCTACTGAGGATTATTTTTTGTGAGGTCCCCATCTGTTCAGTAAGAACTGGATTGGGACAATGGATTTGTTTCATGTTATGTCACCAGGAATCTGAAATGTAGCTACTTCTAAGACACCTAGTTTGAAAGCTTGTTTAAAGTACTTTGTAGTAGAAAAAATACTACAGTAACCCAGCATTTAGAAATACCTTGTTCCCTTCCAGTCTGCACAGAAATTAATGTTAGAAAGAAAAGCTTAGGCAACTCATAAAAAATTAATTTAGCAGCTAAATGTCTTAGAAATGTTTGAAAGCAGGATTTCTTGGGAATATTTTTCTTTAGTTAGAGCAGCTGTTTGAGGTACTGATTTTAATGTAGATTGTATGTAACTCTTAAGTGAAATAGAGCCGAGTGATACTGAAGAAATAAAATCACGTTGTATATACAGTACCAAAATTCAAATTAAGCAGAATACCGAACATTACGAAACAGCATCTTAATCTTAAATGTGAAGAAAGATCTTGTGCACTATGTACGTGGAAGTGGAAATATGCTCTATATGCTATAATGCCATAGAGAGAAATAAGTAAAAAGTGACTTCTGGTCTGTTAATGCAAGCATCTATTTTTCATAAACTCAATTAATTCTGATTGTTGCAGGTTTGGGTTTGGTTTTTTTGCTTTATACTGTCTGTTGTCATGGTTTGGAGAGGGTATATTGTTAAAAAATTGTAGCTGAATTTCTGAACTGAGTTACACAGCCAGGAGGGGAGAGAGAACAAAGAAGTTTGTTAGAAATATCTCAACTTTAGTGAAAAGAATGCAGTTAAATCCATTTGGAGTATCATATGTGATATGGTTTGAGTCCTGCTGTCTTACAGATATTGGTCACCATTGCTAACTAGAGCAGCAAACTGCTTCTCCTGGTTCCACTTCTAATAACATATACCTTGCATCTTTGAAATAATTTTACTAAAATATTTAACACTTTAAAAGATACTGTAAAATTTAAGATAATGTTGTAATTTAAGGTAACATTGTGGAAGTATTGTAAAAATTAAGGTGGGCAGTTGCAGCTGAAATTTCAGGATCCTCTGTTTCACAGCTATGAATACTATATCATTGCTTGTTCCTATAAAACTATTAGTATATTTTAAACAGTCATATATTGTTTCTTATCTAACTCTTAATCTGATTTATATGAGAAGAGAACAAGCCAACATTGACCTCAGCAGGCAAAGAGCAACACCTAGAATCTTATCAGGCAGTTTGAGAAGATGAGTTGGTAAAATACAAAGTAGGAGATGACTCCTGAAGTCTGCAGTATTTGTGAAGGAGGGAGCATGAGTGAACACTTGCAAATTATTTTCTGACACTTGCCTGAATGGCCAAGATGCTAGAATTTCCTCAAAGGAGTCTTCTGTAGTGGCTTAGAGTGTGCTGGATCAAACTCCAAAAGTATAGCAGGTCAGAAATTAGACCAACTAACAAAAGGTTACAAGAAAGAAATTGAAGTATTTTAAGACTTGTAATGACAAGCCCTTTAAGTAAAGTGGGTTAAGGAGGGATTTTAGCTTGTTGCTACATTTCTGTACATCTCTTGGACTTCTGTACATCTCTCAGAACTACTGTCCTGGATTTTTGAGGACCCCCAGGCTCTACATTCAGAGACAGCTGCCTCAGGCAGCCCTGCAAGCAATTACACTGTCAGCTGGGGCCACTTTGCAGATCTTGTGATCAGGTGTTCTTAAAGAGATAGGAAATACTTTCTGGTTTAGCAAGTCCTGGGTCTGAACATTTTTGAAAGCTGGAAGAGTCTGTGGTCTCCTGTATGATTGCCAAGTCCCAAGTAGCTGCTTGTGGCTTCTCTGAGGGCATGGGACTGGCTGGGCTTGGACCAGACTTGGCACGGCTCCTTCTGTGAAAAAGTCATTTTTCAACGTTAACTTTTTTTTTAATTAATTTTTACTTTTTTCTTTTTTTTTTTTTGATAATTTGCCTATATGCAGTTACAAGTTCCATTTGTGTGGGGTGTTGGAACTGCTAACACACTGTTTTGTCCTGTGAGGCTGTTTTTCTAACCCCCCACCTTATTTTTCCCCCTTGTAGCCCACAGAATCTGAATCAGAGGACGGACATGTTCTACCTGCAACCAGAGCGCGCTGTCTCGGCGGAGAGTCCCATCTGGTACACTGCCACATCACTGGACCGCAACACATTGGAAAATATGCTCGTACGGGTTCTTTTAGTAAAAGATATTTATGATAAAGACAATTACGAACTGGATGAAGACATAGATTAAAATAAACTTCCAAAAACCATCAAGCAAACAAACAGCATTAGATAGTCATGCTGCTAGACTTTACTATGGAGAACATTTCAAGTTTACCCTTCGTTTTATGAGTTTTGTAGCAGTCTGTACCCTCACCTGGGTATTACCATGTAAATAGTCCGTGAGTGAAAGCTTCCATTATTCTGAGTAGTGGTTCTAGGATACATAACAAACACATTTCAGATTTTTTTATTATTATTATTTATTTGATTAGGTATGTTTGTAACTTTTTACATTGCAGAATATGAATGAGAATGTGCCATGTGTAATTTTTTTTTTCCCCCCCCTGTAGTAAGAGTCATCCATACTGCACAACTCTGCTGTTGGAAGCTCCCTTGAAAGGAGGCTCTTTTAACGGATTCTTAAACCGGATGGTTGTGTATGGGTAGCACTACTAAAGTTTAGAACTTGCTGTGTCTTTCAGAATTTTTAAATAAATTGTAAACTAATAGGTTTTTTACTTTTTAGTTACTGAAGCCTTATAAGGTTATGTAGAGAGATTCCATCTTATGTACCAAAAATAGAAAAAAGAGAATGCTGTCAATATTGGTGTACTGTAATGTGAATCTATTCTGGTGAAAACATTTTTTTGTTGCCCTTATTAAAACCTTAGTGTCCTTTCCTTATCTGTGACTCTTTCTCAATTGCCCCTACAAATAATAAAAATATATATATATATA